ATCTATTGATAGCGACAACCAGGGATTTTTAGCTCATAATGGGCTCTTAAGTGCCTCTTGTAACGATTTACATTTGAGATTTTCACGTTTCTTGGAGATGAATGTATATCGTTACTTTTATTTAAAAAAAAAATATAATAATCGCCGATATCTTTTTATGGCCTCAGATATACATGAGAGTCTTTTCAATTTATTATTATCAAATTTTATTATTAAATATATCTTTATTATTAAATATATTTTTCTCTTGCATTTATTTATTTATTTCCGTAGGGGGGTTAAAGGATTATTGAAATTAAATCTCAAAATATATGAGATTATTTCATATTTTAAAATCTTGGCCGTGACCAAGTAAAATTTGGTGCCTCGTGCACAGATATTTAATTCTAACGAAAAAAATTTAGTTTCGTTGGGATAACGCACTGTCTTCCGCGATTGGCTCTTATTGCCTGTCTTACATTTTATAAATATATCTTGTTATGCTAATTTAAAGGAGAACGATCGAGTAATACCTGTTTTGTACGCGGAGAGAATTTTCTCTTACGAGTAGAATTTACCCTGAAAATTTTACCAGAGTTTCTTCGATTAATATTTACTACAATAAAAAGTATGAATATATTTCTCTATGTACACGGAAATGATCGTACATTTAATTCGGCGTGTCGTTTTAGCATCTCCACGAATTGATGCAACACGAATCTCGACGCGATCTATATATCCCTGGGCAAAAAGCGTTTTCTGATATCGCATCAATTAATTTCGAAACATCGATCACGCTTCGCATCGCGAACATCGAACGTGCTGTGGATAGAAGGAGAGACGGAGAATTACCGTATTTCGAAACGGCTAATGTATCAATTATCCCGGCGAAACGATTTCGCGAAGCACCTTGGCTCGAACTCCGACGGCAATAAATATAGATCGCTTGTAAATAACCCGGGAAAGAAGAGAGCCGTGAGATGATATCGGCTCGGACAGCATAAATTTCGCCTTTTCGGCGCGAAAACTCTCGTGTTGTACAATACGTACATTACATCGCGACAACAGACGAGAGTAAGGGTAGAACTTTATCAAGCATTCTCGATATCCGAAATCGAGAATCGGTACGCAGATTGTAGAGATGAGTAAAAAAAAAGTCTCGCGTCTGCACGCCGCGACTTATCTCGCATGCGAAAAATACGTGCTCGATCAACGGGGTTTTTGCACGCGAAAGTGGACGAAGGAAAGGAGAGAAGGCAGAGAGATTGAAAATCGTTTACTCGCTGATAATAGATCGTTTAACACGTTGACTGTAGCGACGAAACGGAAGCGCGCTGGCTTCGCGCTTCGGAGATTAATACGAAGCTATAAATCGTGATATATCGTTTCCATATCGATTTCTACGGTTTTGAGGAATTACGCGTAAATTATCGCTCTCGTTTTTAAATAATAACTCAGTGAGATACGCGTTACATTATTCTTACGTAGGATGAAAATTCACGCTTTCGCGCGCGTGAAACTTTTTAGATTCGTATTTTTGTATTTAATATAGTTGTAACACGGATTATGTATGAAGATTGATCTGAATAATAACGAAAGAAAACTATTTTGAATATAAAGTATTTTATGTATTTTTATTAAACGATCAAGATGCAAAAATATGTGCATTCGCAAAGAGAACAAATAATAATAAAAAACCGAAGAAAGTAAATGGCAAGCCAATGAAATAATAAAATATACGAAGAGAATCTCGACATTTTCAATTTTTATATGCTTAGTCTCTAGTGATTTTATATTTTCAACTCTGCTTCAGGGATTTAGCTTTTTAATCGTGAGATGCAATCACTCGAACTCACCGTCGAGTCTTGAAAAAAATATATGATTCGTTCGTCTTTTGTAATAGCTTAGAAATAATTTAGCAGGATATTCGAAAGCACGCGCGTATAAGAAAGTAAAGATGCAATAAATACGAGAGGTGTTTTTCGAAATATGGAGTCGCGCGCGAGAGAATCGTCGTTATTTTCGATCCTTATCCGCGCGATATTTGTAATCTCGGCTTGATACATTACATGGAATTTCCTCGAGTTGAAAAGCAGCTCGATGGTGGCAGCCAATACGATACTCTCCGACGCGTTTGTGTGTTAGTGCTCCTTTTTCTATTTTTCTTCTCCACCATCTTGCTCGCAACCCGTTCGTAGTCTTCTTCGATAAACAGAACCATTTCGAGATACCGCAGTATCTCGATGCTTTTAATTGAAATGGAAAAAAAATTGCAGTCGAAAGCCAAATAAAATTGTATCGCACGCAGTATGTAAAGTATTTTTTAATCCGCGATTAATGACGAATTTATCGTTTTGATATTTCGGGATCGAAGTGACTGTAATCATATTATTTTATTTTTCGAACGTGGAAATAGGAGCCGAATAAAATTTTTTTAATTTCAATTTTCAAGTCGTAATAAATATCTATTTTTACACTTCTGATTAAATTTGACTCAACTAATTTTTATAAACTCTGTGTCGCGATTCCCGGGATATATGTATAAACAGGGTGTATCTAAATAAATACGAATGACCCTCTCTGAGGAGTTACATTTTTCTGAAGGAGGAGATCAAAATTAAGTTTCTTTTTTTCTCATATCAATTCAAATTTCAGACATATTGAAAAAAAAAAATAAACTCGGTGGATATTTTCCACTAATAATTTTTTTTATCTTTCTATATCGTTATAAGGGGATGAAACTAATAACCCCTATTTAATTTTTCAGAACTTTTTAACGGAATAGGATCATTTAAAATATGCCTTAGAAAGTAGAAATTTTTTTTTCGTAAAATCAATAGTTTTTAAGAAGAAAAAAATAAAACCTTAATTTTTGACCTCCCTCTTCAGAAAAGTGTAATTTTTCGCACTTATTTAAACGCAGCCTGTACATTTGCAGAATCTTTTTTAATGCAAAATTCACGTTGCTTTTATTGACGCGACGCGAAGCTCGCCGAGCTTTGAAATGTTTTGCAACGGACCACATTGGCGCCGTTATTTGCAAAATACGGCGGTTTCGTTTCACTATAGCATACTTCATATTCGGAACGCGACGTAGCGCCGGAGGCTTGTAATCTTTCGAGAGCGGATCGCTCGATCGATTACCTCCTCTCTCTCTCTCTCTCTCTCTCCCTCGTTATTTCTCTTTCTTTCTATGTCTCTTTTCCTAGAACGTATGAATCGCCCGTTCGCATCTTGGAACAGTTTTACTCCGGCTGGAAGAAAGATGCAACGCCCGTACAGGAAGAAGAAGGAGTCGAAAAAGGAAGAATATAGAAGGCAGCCACGACGGATACGCTGGAGTGTCGCCGTCGTTGCTGCACTTCGGCTCGGGGAATTTCGCGTAATGCATCGAGAGTCGAGATTGCATGCGTCGAATGGAAAAACGGGGGAAAAATAACCTCGCCGTTTTAACCGAGAACCAGACTCCGAATCGTTCACGGCATTTGTATTTGTTGTTGTTGCTATTTATTCGTGTTTATTAAGCAAATTGACGGAACGGTATCGCGCATTTTCAGCAGAGTGTATACATCGTTTATCTCGGTACTCTCGTTTATTCGTCATAGAAATACCTCGGAACATCTCGTAATGTAGATTGTTGCTCGTGTATAAAATATTGACAGAATGCAAATTTCAGTATTTTGGCTATCGATACGTTATTATTATTATTAATCGCATACTATACGTCGAAATACACAGTTCAAATAAATATTATACGTACAATATAATGTAGAATACGGTAAAAAAATTCAAAAAGAATAAATAGTTAAGAGAAACACGCGATAGGGGGTGAAAGAGAAAAGGACATTTTTTGGGCATAAAGTACTGCGCAACATTTAAATTTAGCGTAAACGTAATTTAATCAAGGATAAATTGTGAGGAATAAAAATGTAGAGATAAATTTACGTAAAAGTTTTTAAAGCAATCTTACGTAATGTAACATTGCGCACATATATACATACATAATATAAGCTAATATGTAAAAGAATCTGCCACTTTGGAAAACTAGATGCATCACTAACAAAGATACATGGCCGCTTGATACGCTCTAACGTGAACTAATAATACTCGAACCATAAATACGACCCAAGATTTCGCTCCACAGATTCATAAATCTCTTGTCCCAATATATTTTTCCCAGGAGGGAATAAGCTGTAAGAGAAAGATAGCAGCTACTGGCGAGAAGAGGAGGTTGCGAAAAATGAAGGGGGCGGCATATAAGAGAGGGATGAGGAAATAGATTTGTGTGTATTTGCCTGTGTGTGTGTGTGTGTAGGCGGGTGGAAAGTGAACGAAGTGTGCGCTTTGGACCGAAGTCGACGTCGGAAGTATCGGATGCAAAAAACGAGAAAACAAATCGTAAATCATTTGCTCGCGCCTTTCTTACACGCGCAAAAAGCCGGCGACGAGAACATAGCGCGATGGCGATATTCCGGTGAAATCACGCCGAAATTATAAGTATTTTACCGCGAGAGAGAGAGACAGAGTGCAAAAAAGACAATCGGCGAGTGCCATAAAATTTAACAGGGATCAGAGGGCAACGCTGTTTATTTAATTAGTTACTCTTGTTATTACAACAGAGCCACACATGCGTATACTACTTTGAGTGAAAAGTATGAGTATATATATATATATATGGTGCTTATCATTAATTACTTACAGCTGTCGGATCTTTAGTCAGTTATAATTTATGGTTTTAGGGTGTTGCTAACATTACATTTTGTACAACTATGAATTACCATACACGATCATATTTCATAGAAGCTGTCATATTTTATCGTTGCAAATTCACGTATGTAGTGCATCGTTGTACGCGCTATTTTTAAATATTGAACAAATGTAAACTACAAAATATAGAAAAGACAGAGAGAAAAAGTTTTATACAGTAGTACTTAGTGCGTCAAATGGAGCAAAGTCGTATTAATAACTTTCCACAAAGTTGATGCATTGTCGCGAAACTGGAAAATGACTGTCGAACTGCCCACTTTGTTGAGCGATTAAGAGCAATCGAGACAAAATGGTTCCGTACCAGGAAGGAGTTTGAGTTTGAGCTAGGCGAAAACTTACTAAAATCGAAACCGCGCGAAATCGGAACTCGCTCTCTCTCTCTCTCTATCTCTCTTTCGCGGATTTTCGGAGAAAACTATGGGGCGGACTTGCCTTTCTTAGCCGCAGTGTGATATAATCGAATGAGCGGAGGTTACCACGCACCAAGTTACGTAAGTTGCCGGGTTGATTTAGTTCTCGCGGATAATTCGAACGACTCCTTCTCTCTCTCTTACGTTCCCAGCCTGCCGCTCGGAGGATGATGGAACCAATTCCGGCTCGTTCGCCACCATCTGGCCACGCCGTTTCCTCGTTTACTGTATGTGGCGCGGATACTCCGTAAGTACATCGGAATGTTCTCTGGGAATTAAATGGAGCTCGTTCGCGAAGAAATGTGCGCACGCGCTCTCTCTCCTTTAGGTACCTTTATGTTATCGGCATACTTGGACTTTATTGATATTGCCAATTTCATTTTCTTGGTAGGGAGAGAAGGAGAGAGAACTCCCGGTGCAACTAGCGCCAGAGGTCTGGGGATGGATGTAATGGGTGATCGACCGTCGAATGATACTTCTTCGAACAGACAGCTGGAAAATCAGCGCGTAAATGTAGTCGGCGTAAAAAAGCTTTCGAATCGAAATGTGTATAGTAACTATAATTGCCGAAGAGGTACAAAAAAGACTGGTCAGGAATAGGATGACGGTAGCTCGCAAGGGGCTTCTGTTTTCACATATTTCAGGACGCTCGCTCGTTCGCTCTCTCTCTGCAAAAGCGACGACCCTTCGCTACTTTCGATCTTTAAATATTTTATATGTGTAAGTAATATAATATAAGATTTCGCAACGGACAGCAGGTATTGTTTCGTTGGCGTGTATATTATGCATTGCTTCTTTCGCTGGATAATTATGAAAAGCCTTCTCTATATACACTCACGCTTTTATTCGCAAAATAATGCATCGTAGTTAGACGAGCAGTTTGATAAAAAGAGATTTTTTTTTCTTGAAAAAATAGAAAGAGAAAATGGTTTAATAAAGAGATATGTTTATCAACTTTAGACAGCATCATAAATCAGCATCGTGATTATAGCCCCCTTTAGCAATTAAAAATTCAAATTTACACAGTGTGAAAAATAAATGATTAAAAAAATGAATCATTTTCAAATAAATCTAATCGGAAATGTGTTACTATATATAGTAAGTAATAAAAATTATACAAAGGATAACGGATGATACTTTCGCACTTATCATGCAGAAGTGATCGGTCGTTAGTTTAACCTGCGATAATGCCGAAAAGAAGAAGGAAAGTTAATGATGAGATACGTTCATCAATCTCGAGAGATATCGCGAATCGCGCGCTTACGATCTTATGAAAATGATTTTGCATTAAAGATTCAGGACGTGCCATTTTGCTTGCATTTTGCGGGCTGTATTTATCGCCAAAATATATTGCTCGCGCTATCAGCATACATTATTATCAGCATCGCGCGCGTGCAGCATACGAGAGGAGAATCCGACCTTCTTATCGTAGTATTCTCATCGTCTTCGGCGAACGCACACGTAGATATATTTCCCTTCTTTATACTTTTTCCTTTATCGATCTCTCGGAAGATCCTTATCCGCAATCGTCATTTTTCAAATATATTTTTACGGCGTGTTTGTATATCTCGCACGATATATTTTGACATTATCGGTGCGAATTGTATTAAACGCTGGTATATCGTGAATACATTGTGGTAATTTCGCGCATGTGAAATTGCAAACGTTGTCAAACAATTTGATAATGAAAAAAAAGTTGCGTGTCATGCACACATAGGGCAGCCATAGAATTTATTTAATATTTTAAATTGTTGGCGCGCGCGCGCGCGCCAGACTAAATTGCGCGACAACAAAATTTCGATTATTTGAATACCTACCTGTAAAACGTGCTTCGCAATACAGTTCAAAAATTTTCGTGAAACGAAATTGTTTTGTTTCTACCACGAGTATGTATGCTTCTGCGTGTATATCTTGATTGCAAAAAAAATGTTTTTTATCGCAATTTGGTTGCTTCATGTTCGACATTATATTTGTGTCACAATAATAAAAATGGCTCTTTAAAGATTTTTTTTTTTTTTTATCGAGATATGTTGTCGATGTCGCGCCGGAAGGTTCTTATCTGCAACCTGTTATTTTTTGAACATGATTCTTGCGACGTGTCCATTTCAGCGTAATACTTTAACGTTCAACAACATTATTGATACGAATTATCATGTTATTAAGTGTTAAAGTATCGCCAATACAATATATATGATATTCTTACAATTCAATAACTACTTTCTCTAATTTGAAGTTCAATTAATCTACTCTTTCGAAGATAATTTTTAAACATTTTTTACAAATTGTATTGTACGTATATATAAATACTATCTATACTATTACGTTTACGATATATACGATATATTTATAGTAGGATTTTTTAACAAAAATATTTCAATATTATGTAATAATATCAATAGGGCATGCTATTTCAATAAAAATATTATCAATTCCAATTATTCTGTAATAAAAAAAATAATTTTGCATCAAGTTTATTTTTATCAAATAACATTTTATTGATAACAGAATCAAAGAACAAATTAACGTGATTATCGAATAATATAAACACATACTCAATATACATGAATAAAAGATTAATTTAAGAGAATCAAGCGTATAGATAAAAATTATTTTGCGCGTAGCTATCGCAAATTCTTCATTAATTAGCGACGGAATAATCGTGGCGCAATCTAAATCTCTCACAAATTTTAGTCATTATCTATCAACGCAATTGATCGTAGTCGAATTTTTTATAAATTATGCATGACTTTTAATAAGATGATGTCCATTGGAAATAAACGTTAAAATCTGTTGGAGTAATTATCGCCATAATTTTCATATATAATGTACAAGTTTCAGCAGTGACGCACGTTTTTGCATAATTACGCAATATTATCCCAGATTATTGCGTCAAATTGCAATTTATCAACTAGTATGCAAACGAGCGCGTCTTTTACGCATAGCACAAGCACATTTTCCGTCACTCTGTTAACACATCTGCGGAAAATTTTAATTGCTTCACTTATTTAAGCAAAGAGGAAAGATCTACATATGATATGGACTTGTTTTTTTAACGATAATTGAGCAATTAATTAATTACAAATTATTTATACTTTATAACATTTTCTGCTAATAAACTTGCATCGCGAAACATATATGAAATGATGCAAATTATATGCATAATTATTATTCATGTCTCTTCTCTATATACACATTTATTTTGTTACTAAAAACAACCAGAAAACCTTATTTTTCTCAGGTTCACGCTTTTTAAATATACATAGATGTTTTAGAAATTTGTTTAGATTTTATATATTTTTTCCTACGAAATCTTTTATAGCACGCAATTATGTATATTCATTAAATAGAATTTATATACATATACAAAATTATATATGGTGGCTATTAAATTTGATATGTATATTCAATATTAAATGTAAAAATTCTCAATTTCTAATATTGTAATTATAGATTTTCTCATAGAAAGCTTTCTGAATTTCGTCGAACGTACTTTTTACGTCAAAATGATGGTTTTAAATTCTGTTCGCGTATTGTTACCCGGTGCGGCTCGTACATTTCTCGTTTTCCATGAAAATTTTCCATAAAAAAAGTGAAAGTCGCGGATGTGAGAAAATTAAATCGAAAACATTCCGATGAGTTGCTTCGATGAAACGTGCGCGTGTGAATATATAAAAGATTTACTAATCTGGCGGTGATAACTCGCGGATATGTGCTGAAAATTTCACAGGGCACTGCGGAAATTTTGGGATACCTCGGAATGTCATAGTTCTCCTCTCGTGTGTGGGATTCTATATATATATATATATATGTGTGTGTGTGTAGGCGTACGTTCGTATAACGGTATTACCGATTATATTGAAACTGCTTTCGCGTGCGGACAGCGTTTTCACGCTTATTAGTTTTTAGGCAACTTGCAATGTTACGCTGATATAAGCAGCGGCGTCCACGCACTCTGTTTATTATACGCTCGTCCCAGATTTGGTAAGATTAACTTTTGTGTGCCGTTATTTAAATACGTTATTTAAATAGATATCGGCTAATTTTAACTAAAAGCTCGAGTAATAACAACTTTTCACATAGTTACATGAAATTTAAATAATGTATTATATCAAACATGTAGACATACGCGTGCACATACATATATATAGAGAAAGAGAGAACAGCGAATTTAATTTTACATCCTCTTTGAAATTAAAAATTGAAATTTGTCTATCATAAAATCTCTAAATAATAGAAAGGATATATTTAGTCCTTTATAAACGAAATAAATTCAATTTGTAGATATGCATGATGCATTGAAATCGCGCCTGCACATTGCATCGATCTCAAATACAAGTATGGAAATTTTTATTTTGAAAGTTTCTATTATATAAACTATATTTTTTAATGTTTTTTATAAGTATGTTTTACTTGTACGTTTTTCAGCAAATACTAAAATATCCGATCTTTTCGATAAAAATACATGGTATCTTTTATTTTTCAAACAAATACGCATTGAATTTTTCTATTTTTGCGTTGAATCATTCTTTTATTACTGGTATTGAATATACATATATAATACATTTTGTCTTATATTGTAGTTTATTTAGTAAAAATAAAGCAATATTATAAAAAAGTTTTAAACAGAATTTTTATATAAGAATTTTTCTTTTTTTTTTTTTTTTTTATTATGAAAATAGATTGTCGTCTCTTAATCAATGGCAACTTAATCGTCTGACAATATATTGTAGCTATTAAATATCCATATTCAAAACAATTTTATAAAAAGTATTGTTGACTGTTTACTTGTTTGTAATATGTAGATTATTTGCAGTAAACACACATACACACAATTTCTCTCTTTCTCTTTCTTTTACGCATACATATTAAAATAACAGTTATTATAACTGTGTTGCATACATTGTGTAACATTTTATTCTTGGTTGAATATTCCATTTTTTATCGAAAAATGTGTTGGTCATATTGTTATATGTATAACATGAATTCTGTAAACATTTAACACTGTTTAGAATATTTACATTCTTTTTATTTTTTTTTTGTTATTATGTTTTCTGATTATCTGTCAAATTGTTCGATCACGGAAAATTTTTGTGATGTACAGTAGCGAAAGATATACACGTCAGACAATGCACAAAAGTGAAAACTTAATTGGGCAGAATTATAAGCTCATTTAAAACTCTATTAACATGCAAATTCACGAGTCGAGAGAAATTCTATTTAATGGTCTACAAGAATGCACATCTCGAGTTTTCCTCGAATCTTTCTTCGTTCTTGTTTATTTTCTTATCTAACAGTGCTCTTTATTCTTTGAACAGTCTATCTGGTTTTCTCCCCCGTCATATCAAACCGGTATTAATAATTTAGTTGCAAATTTGTCTAGAAATTTAAGAAATTGATGAAATTTCTAAAAATATTTTTATTCATTTTTGAAAATATATATCTCTTTCATAACACGAAAAGATAATAGAAAAGAAATACCAACTTGAACTATATACTCATGATAAAGGTATGATTTTAAAGTGACCATGATGCGTCCAGAGTGCGCTACACAGGAAATTTTTT